CTTTAATAAACGAATACCCTTTTCAACTTTGCATCCGTAATGATTTTTAAATTAACGTTCGAACTCAAAATTTTTGATTTTAAGTATATGGTAATCAACTAGGTACCAATTTTTAGGCACCTGTGGGGTGCTAATCCTTCCCCATGCGTAACTGACTCCCGAACCTAATTTCTGGATTTTCGCAGACCTTAAAACTTGGTAATTTTATTAAAATAAAATGTTTTTTTAAAATCACCCGATTTTTATGGTGTTCCAATCGCACCTTAAATGATTGGTTGCGACTCCTCACATTTTGAAAATTCCTTTCAAAGAGAAAACCCCCAAGTCGGTACTAGTCTTTCCCTGCCCGAGCGAAAAACAGTGTCGACAATACCCATGTTAAGTCAATATTATTTTAATACTACAAACCAGTTTATAACTATCATATCAGAACAAATATGATACACTTATAGTATATACATGCCACTATATACATATGTTGATGCATGTTAAATTGTCAGGTATTAGGAATATTGAATTTCATTTTGCACTGTCAAATGGTGTCTCAACAGTCGGACCAAAGCTTAAGGCTGTGTCCGTTAGAGTGCAAGATTCTTATACTGTTACTTGGCTCACTGCCAAAGGAAAGGGAAACAAGAGATTCTTGATAGTCAACAGATGCTAGAAGATATCGATAATGAGGTATACTCATGCACTTCAGAGTGTATATAAGAAAGTATGAATTTCATAGAAGCATTTAAAATCAATGTTGTTAAGGGTGCAAGGTGCACTCTAGGTGCTTAAACCCTTACATTGCCTTAGACGCTAGGCACAAAAAAGTGCTAACCTACGTAAAGCAAAGCACAATATGTATAGTGAGTTTTTATATGATACACACACTCACACACACAAGTTTAAGATATATGGTAAACTCTAAATTGGAGTCTACTTTATCTACAAAACATGTAATTTGTTTATTGTTCAATATGTCTGATTTACTTGTGGTCAGTACTGGTTGTTGAATGCTTAAATATTATAAAGTGTCAAGTTTGATATTATCATTTGCTTACTAGTATAGATATTATATCAAATGAAAGAAACAAAGGTGAAAAGTAAAAGAAAAAAAGGTGAAAAGTAAAAGAAACTAAAGAGAAATTCAATAAGGCAGGCTTTTTTATGCCTATCGCCTGACAAAAAAGTGTGCCTAGGCGCAGTAGGCGTTCCCTTGACCAAATGGGTCTTGCCTGAAAATGTTTGAGGCGCTTTTTTTAAAAACAATTTGCTGATGCAGTGCAAACTGACTGTTTAATGTAAGTTTTTGTGCTCCTAATCGATCCTTTGTCTTGTAGCTTCATCCCTTTCTACTAAAGTTTTGATCCGTTGCATTGATACCATATAAAAAGATCGATGTGCTTATGGCACTGTTTAGGGTTCATCCATGCTCTTAAACTTTTTAAAGTGAAAGTAATGGCAGATGGAAAATAACATGGACTGTCTTGATCTTTACATTGAGGTTACAAGACGACAGAACTGTTCTGTTTGCTCAGATAAGCCTAGGTTGATGACAACCTTGGCACTCTATGGAGTCGAAGGGTAAGACTTTGAAACATTTCTCCCATCTTTTTTTGGTTTCACAAAAAATATGGCATGGATGCTATAGGCTAAGTTTATATGGGTTGCAATCCCAGTCGTAGCTGCATATATATATAAACACGTTACATAATTGTCATATCAACCTATCAAACTTCTTGATCCATACTCTCTCTCCATGCTTTACCTTGCCCTCTTTTGATTTTTTTTGCTATCTATACATGTTAGTTCCTGGCTTGCTGCTTATCAAAGTATTTCCTTTTTCTCAAATTGTGAGTTGTAGTGCAATATGTACAGACATGAACACATCGTACTTCACGACTCATCTGTTAGGTTCATAGACATATTAGAGGTGAACTTGTAAAAATGGTGTAGGTTTAAAAGGTATTCAGGGATGTTTGCTATACTTTTTGTTGCATGATACTTAGACATTTGTTTACAAATTATAATTGACCTGAATTTTCTTTAATTGCAATAAGAGAATTTGCAAACAATTATATTAGTGATAATAGAATCAATCAGGCTCATTCTAAGATAGACAATGCGTAGGGCCGGATAAAGAAAACTTCACTATCATTCTTATGTTTTCCTTTTCCGGTCAACCATAGTGATCTAAAAGAACTATTTTTTATACTAGTCATAAAATTTTAGTCGAATAATTGTTTTTATGTTTTCCTTTACGTCGATGGTGTTGACATCAGAACTGGCGACTATTTCCGATTTTACCATCCAGATCCAAGGGCTGCATTATCTTCTAGCAAAGATTTCTCCTTGCCCCTTAGAAATTTGAAGGTGGAATGGGATTAAAAAACAGCCTCAACAAAAGCGTGGTGATAAAACGGAACCTTTCCAAGGTTTTATCTTTGCTTGCATCGACCGTGGAGAATCATTATATATATATATATATATTATATTAAATTTTAAATATATAAAAATAAACATAAAAATATTAAAAATATTAAAAATAAAACTAAAATACTAAAAAAGTAATATATATATATATATATATATATATATTAATGTAAATTTAGAGATGAATTCTAACGCGAGTTTTATTTTATTTAGTAGTATAATTATATTATTAAATTTATTTTGGAAAGATTAATTTGTTATTCTTTGAAAAAAATTAAAATAAATATTAAAGTTGACAAAAAATCTCAAACATGCTATGTATACATTTAACTTTATAGAGTTGTATCTAACATAAATTGGTGGGATATGTCGATTTTCCTATTTATTTTTTTGGCAAAAATGCATCAGAGGCCCTTATACTTTTAAAAAAACTAACGTGGTGATCATATTTTTTCTCTCTCAATGTGACCCTCTAACTCAGAAAATAAACTATGACTGACGAAGTGGTAGATAGGGATGGACAAGGGTTCGGGTCGATTGGGTTGAGTTTTAAAAAAAAAATCAGGTTCGGGTCGAGTCGAGTCAGGTTTTTTAAAGGTGATGTTTGGGTCAGGTCAGATTCGGGTTTAGGGTGAACAATACTCGACCCGACAAAAATTATAAATTTACCTTATATATTTAGAAATAATTACATTAATACCCCTTTATATATTATTTTTTTCAATTAAATCACTATTTTTATAGAATAAAAATAATATTTATTATTATTTCGGGTAATACCCCTTTATATATTATTTTTTTCAATTAAATCACTATTTTTATAGAATAAAAATAATATTTATTATTATTTCGGGTCGAATCAGATCAGGTTCAATTTTTATCTCAAAACTTGGGTCGGTAGATGGTATATATTTTTCGGGTCGGGTCGGTGAATGATGTAAAATTTTTGGGTCGAGTAAGGTTGGCCGAAACCCGACACATACCCATCCCTAGTGGTAGATGACATGACATATAAACTAAATTGATTTTTTGGTTTTGTTCAATGACTAATTGGTTTGTTTATAAAGTTCAAGAATTTATTTTAATTTTTCAAAAAATAAAAATTATTTTAAATTATAAATATTAAATTTGACAAATATCAAAATATAAATATAAATATGCTAAAATTAAAATTAACTCACTAAAAAATTGAATATACATATTAAAATATTAAAATTATTATCAAAAGTTTTTTTAAAAAAATTGAATATATATAATCCTCGAGCTCGATTAGATTCTACTTAAGATTAAATTCGTCTGAATTCCTTTTCTAATCATATTAAATTTAATTGAATTTCGAAGATCCTCTCATAGGTTTCATCAATCAAATTTATTTTATTTGTAAACATTAAGATTTAAACTCAACTTGCTTTAAGGAATTCTATCTGTTTATATTTATAATTGAGTGGTGCAAAAAATTAGAGATAGAAAGGAAAACATGGAAATAGAGTGAAGAAGTCCAAAGTAAACGAGAAACTTTTGGTATTGAGTCTTCCACCCCTTAAGCCCTTCGATGGTGAGTAGAATGAACCGATCATCACCTTCTCCAATAACACCCAAACTGTAAGGTATGACTCATAAATATACCGGTAAAAAGGACAGGGGATGGAACGGAGTGAGCGAAGCGAACGCAGAATTACACAAAAGAAATCTGTTGCATGATATCAAAAGCTGTAAGCTCGATTTTTGCAAGTATTGTGTTCTTGGTAAACAGACTAAAGTCTGTTTCAAGACTGTGAAGCACACAACTCAAGGGATTCTTGATTATGTGCATTCTGATGTATGGGGGCATTCCACGACATCGTCTTTGGGTAGATCTAGGTATTATGTTACTTTTATTGATGATTTTTCACGAAAAGTTTGGGTGTATTTTTTGAAATAGAAATCTGAAGTTTTTGAGAAATTTAAACTGTGGAAAAGAGAGGTAGAAAACCAAACAGGACAAAAAATCAAGTGTTTGCGGTCTGACAATGGTACGGAGTACACAGATTCACAGTTCTTACATTTCTGTAAGGAGCACGGGATTAAGAGACATTTTACAGTGCGCAAGACACCACAACAGAATGGTGTTGCGGAACGGATGAACAGGTCGTTGAATGAAAGAGCCAGATGTTTGCGGTTGAATGCGGGGCTTCCCAAACACTTCTGGACTGAGGCTGTTAACATGGCGTGTTATCTTATCAACAATTAAGTCGTTAAAGAAGTAAGGTAACCCAACCCACATTGAATGTTTCCTAAGGGACAGGATATTCGCCAAGGTGGAGATTTGTAAGGTATGGCTCATAAATATACCGGTAAAGAGGACAGGAGATGGAGCGGAGTGAACGAAGCTATTATCATTGAATAAAAATTTTCTAGCGCCGCCTAGGCACCGAAGACGTAAGCACATTGCTGAACCTCGTTAAAATTCTTGTGTTCTTTCGTACTTTGCCCGATTTATCAACACAAACTCATGCAAAACATTGGGTTTTCTTTGATGAACGATGATATTCTTCAAAACATACTTTCAAGGCTACCCGCCACCTCTTTCGCTTCCGCCGACTCTAAGGACTGGAACGCCACTTGCTCTCGCATCCTCTCCCACCCTAAGCTCTCCTCCGCCATCTCCGTCAACCCTTTGGCTCCTGTTTATATTATTTTGCTGATTTTTGTTTGTAAATATTCGTACAGGTTGCTACAAGAGGTTTTTGACAAGGTTATGTCGGAGCCAATTCGATCCCATTTAGTTATTGCAAGTGTTGGTCCTGGATTTGAATTCAATGATGTTCTCCAATTCGTATGAAGTCTAAAAACATAACATCTTTCTTACTTTCTTTTTTTCTGGGTTGAGTTGATTTTCCAGAAATTTTTAAATGTTTTGCACCTTGGGCAGATGGTAGAAAATTTTGGATCAAGAACACCAATTATTTTATCTTCTGTTAGAGGAATTCTTGGACGAGATGCACTAACTCATGATTTTAGAGAGGTTTGTTCTTTCTTTTCTATTATTAAGTACTTTCCTATACTGTCATCACTGTGATGCTTAAACTTTTATGTTTTTGTTTTTGAATTCTGGTTCTCGAAATGGCAGGTTGAGTGGACTGATAATTCTGATGAGGAAGTTCATGTAAATACCGGTATTGTATTGACTGTTGGATTCGTTCAGGGACTTAAGGTCGACGTGATCCCTCTTTTACGAAAGTGAAAGGTGAAATATTATTCTGCTATTGATGCTTAGTGTTGCCAAGCCCTGATCAACTGGTTCCTTAGTTTTGATTTATGGAAGGAAGACTAGCATGAAAATCTTTGCCCTTTTACCAGGTACCTCAATGGCCAATGACTGACAAGTTTGTGATGGATATTAAGGAGTATACATCCTCTGTGTCCGCTTCCACAACACCGCCAGCAATTATAATGATAGGGATAAGTTGCTAAGTTAGGGTCTTTTAATTGATTGCACTTTAAAATGTGGCTTCCAATGGAACAAAATTGATCGTCCAGCTGATAACTTGAACTGATTGTAAGCATAGGGGAAGTGACTATTTAGACCATATTTGCATCCGAAATTCATACAACGACTCTAATGTACCTATTGTCTCTTTCCAGCATAGAAAAAACATTATTCTTTTAAAATCTAAATAGCTACAACATACAATTAAGAAAACATACCCAAAACTCAGACCTCAGATTTCCATCAAATTTCTTTTCTTAACTAGAGAATAATTACTGCTCATCTATGTTCTTGACTTAGTGGAACAAACATGTGCTCAAAGGGTGGCATGACCATTAGGTTATATGTTACATTCTGCCTTTCTGTGCAACATATAAAATGGAACATATCAATGTCGGGTCCAACATATAGACATGATCAATGACATCTGATAATTCTGTCACATCGCTTCTGAGCTCCCAACTAGGTGATATATGTGGTTGTCAGATTAGTTCTAGCAGTATCTTACTCCTTTTATGTTATTCAGAAGATTTGTGCATGTTTATTGTTGTTTTTGGTACTCATGTTCGTCTCAGATTATGCTATGTCTACGGAAACAATCATTGTGGGCGATGAAAGAGCTCAGTTTGTGTATAGAAGTAGTAATGCTTCAAGAAATGTCGAACAGTCTCCTGATACTGTTCTCTTGTTTTTGAAGAGAAAGAAACAAAGCTCATGATAACTATTCCTATGATTCTGTATTTATTTATTTTTCTCAAATTTTATGAAACTTATTAACCGTTTTAATCACTACACATACATATATCTCATTAATCTCATTCCTGATAAATTCCGCATGAACTATCTTACATTTCAATTCTTCCAAATCAAGAAGCACATATTTGCAGTTGCAACAATTTATTAAGTTGTTCTCCTGGTCTCATACTTGATCTTCCCTCCCCATTTTCTACATGCTAATTCTCCGAGGACTTGTTCTTGATTTTTCCTGTTGTTTTCTACAATCCACAATGTTCAATTATTTTCTAGTTGGTGTTGAGTCATACAATGCATCATGTGATGACCCATTATGGATTCTTTGTGTGGTTTTATGGGTTTTTTTCTTTTACTTTTTCTCCTCATTGTTTGGTAACATATGTTAATACATGTTAAATTGTCAGGTATTGGGAATATTGAATTTCATTTTGCACATTCACTCCTATATTGCGATATTCCTAAAAAAAAAAAGTAAACCCCCCGTCGTTGGAAGATTTTTGGCCCATTAGCCTTGTTGGGGGATCTATAAACTTCTAAGCAAGGTTTTAGCAAATCGCCTTAGACTCGTTTTAAGTTCGGTGGTAGGTAACGCTCAATTCGCTTTTATTTTGAGGAGGCAGATCCTCAATTGCTCGTTGATCGCTAACAAAGTGATTAACGCACTAGAAAAAGTGGTAGAGCTGGTCTGATGTTTAAAACGGATTTCAGAAAAGCATACGATATGGTCGGGTGGAATTTCCTCATTCGGGTAATGAAAGAGATGGGTTTCAAAAATCGATGGTATCGCTGGATGTCAGTTGCGTCTCAACAGCTTCTATCTCTGTCTTAGTTAATGGATCCCCTACGAGCATATTCAATCAGGCAAGAGGTCTCAGGTAGGGATGTCCACTCTCGCCGTTACTTTTTAATTTGGTGGGAGAGGCTCTAAATTTGATGATCAAGAAGGAAGTTTATCCGGGTTTATTCTCCGGTTGCTTGGTAGGTAAATGTTCAAACGTCTTGGAGATCACTCACTTAGAGTATGCCGACGACTTGGTTGTGTTTTGTGGTGCGTCAGAGGCTTAAAGTAAGAATGTGAAAAAGGGTGTTTCGAATGTTTTAGTTCGCTTCGGGTCTCCTACTGAATCTAAAGAAATGTACACTTTTTGGGGTTAATTCTACTACCCGTGAAGTTGCTGCTTGGGCTGATTGTATCGGATGTGTTGCGGGCAGTTTTACAACAAAATATCTCAGTTTACCTTTAGGAGCAAGGCGCAATTCTTGTTCGCTGTGACAATCAGTGATCGATAAAGTGGAAAAGAGGTTGGCGGGTTGGAAATCCATCTCCTTGTCTCTCCTCGTCCTTGGTGTCTGCCGGTATACTTCTTATCCCTATTTAGAATGCCGACTTCGGTATACAATAAAATAAATAGAATATTCTTGAGATTTCTATGGGGAGGATTGTCGGCCAGAAAGAGTATTTATTGACTGAGATGGAATGATGATTGTAAGCCGATAGATTGCAGGGGTTAAGGTATTTCAGACTTGAAACTAATGAATAATGGCTTGCTTGGGAAGTGGTGTTGAAGGTTCGGGTTAGTTGCTAAGCATAATCTGGACCCCTTGTCTTTGCTCCCTGCAGTTTCAAAATCTCATGGGATTTCTTGGATTTGGAAAGGAGTTCTTGATACTTTCAAGGAGAGGGATAATAATTTGAATTTTAAGGATAGATTTCAATTGCAGGTGGATGATGGCAAGAAAATCAAATTTTGGCAAGATGTGTGGATTGGTAGATAGCCCCTAATGGTCGTCTTTCCCATAATGTTCTCACTTGCTATGAACAAGGAGGAAAGAATCACTGATTTTGGTTCGAAACTAGCATCGGGTTGGAGATGGAATATTCAGTTTAGGAGGGATCCTTTTGACTGGGAGCGGGCACAATATTCTACATTGTTCATTCTTCTAAATAATTTTGAAGGCTCGTCTTCCGACTAAGATTGGGTTAAGTGGATTGGGTCAAGCGACGGGATTTATTCAACAAAATATGTAGTAAGGTTGTGGGTCTCTATCGGCCTCAAATATTTCAATTGGGAAGAATTATCCTTGGCAGGGATCGCCCCAATCAAAATTGAGGCATTCGTTTGGCGGCCCTACATCGAATAATTCCGGTGAGAGAAGAACTAGCGAAAAGGGGAGTGATTTTATTGTCGGATAGGGGTTGCCCTTTATGTTCAAAACATATTGAAACGATTGATCATCTATTGTTAACGTGTGAATTTTCCTTGAGATTGTGGGGATATTTTCTTGCTTCTGGGGGAATATCGTTTATGGTTCCTAATAATGTGAAAAATTCCATGTTGTTATGGAGGGAGTCCCTCCCAAGTAGATGTAGAAGATTAATGTGGCTTACCCTTCCCTACACGATCTTATGGACTATATGGCTACATAGGAACGACGTGGTTTTCAACAAGAAGATCGTGGACGTGCTACAAATGTTTTGGGTGGCATGTTGGTTAAAGGAGAAATTCCTAGATGCCCTAATTAGTAAGGAGGAATTGGCTACTAATCTCTCGAGGGCAGTCAATGCTTTGCTGAAGTATAAACCTGATTGATCCCATATCTCTTGGTCTCCTCCCTCGAAGGATTTCCTAAAATTTAACGTTGACGGAGCAATAAAGGCTGACAGTAGTGCAGGGGGTATCAGGGGTGTTCTTTGGGACAACTTGGGTAAAATGCTGCTATCGTTCTCGGTTCCTATGGGGGTGGCTCCTTGATTCTTGCTAAAATTTTGGTCGTGGACCACACGGTGAATCTATTTAAGGAGTCAAAATGGTTTAGGAAATATGGGCTAGTTGTGGAATCGGACTGCGGGATGGTGGTGAATTGGCTGTAGCAATCCTCCTCAATCCCCCCGAATAGGCCTCTTTACTCCTCCCTTTGGTATCTGTTATACTCTAGGAAAATTATGTAGTTAAATCCATATGAGGAAGGAGCAATATATGTTGGCAGATTACCTACCGAGATAGAGGGTAGGCTAAGTTTTGCATTGTAATTCACTATAGAATGGTTGGTTTTGTATGCAGGTGTTTTTTCAAATGTGGGTGTTGGAGGGTTGTGTTGCTTTGTTCAGTTTGTTGTGCGGTCTTTGTAGTCACTACTTAGGGTGCACTCTTTTTCTTCCTCTTAGGTTTAAGGAGGCTATCAATCTTCTTGATCCATACCTTCTCTCTCCATGCTTCACTATGCCCTTTTTCTCGAATTGTGAGTTATAGAGAAATATGTATAGACTTGAGCTCATCGTACTTCAAGACTCATCTTTTGGGTTCATAGACATATTAGAGAAGAAGATGCAAAGTTTTATGGTCTCATAGACATATTAGAGAAGAATATGCAAAAATGGTGTAGGTTTAAGAAATATTTTGGGGCTCTTTGCTAAACTTTCTATTTTATGATATTTGGCATTTGTTTACAAATTATAAGTGAGCCAAATTTTCTTTAATTGTAATAAGAGAATTTACATTCAGATAAGTTGATACTTTCACTGTTCGGTACCAGTCAATTCAAATACAAGTAGAGTAAAATCTTCATCTAAGCTATTAATGGTAGCATTTGAGTTTGTGCACCGATATAGGATATGTCTTCAAGATTAAAGAATCAGTCAGGCTTATTCTAAGATAGACAAAGCGTAGGGTCAGAACAAGAAAATTTCACTATCATTCTTCT